AAAGGAGAAAAAATTTCAGAGAAAAAGCCCCAGAGCCACGATATCACTTGATAGTGACTATCAACTTGATAGTTGTCACAGCTGGGTGCCTGCCACCTTGCCTTACATTTGCTTGTTTTTCTCAACAGGATATGGCCAATGCGTTTGCACAGAAGCACCTTCGGTCCATAATCCTGAATGTAAGTTCCCAGAACAAGCTGTATTTTGTTACTGGTGATAGCAATTATTACTGTTACTGTAGTTGTATTATTATTATTGAAATTACTGTTGCGTGGGGAGGGCGCTCAAAGGGAACCTACCAATAGATAGGTGCTAATAAACCCTTGTTAAGCTGGAATGCTTTTTCTCCTAATCCTCTGTCAACAGAGCTGTTTCTAGGAGGCCCTCCCACCAGGAATCCCGGAGCCTCTGAGGAGCTACGAAGGCCAGCCAGCTGTGCTGTTTGTTGCCCTGCGGCTCCAACAGTTTTTATTCAGAAGAAATGTGTTAAAATAGGCCCCAAAGGGGAAAGTAATTCGTTCAGCTAACACCAGTCAGACCTGAGTTGTGTGGGGCACAAGTAGGGAGGAATAAGACAGTGTGTTTGCTCTCAAAGATATTCCGGTTCCCTGGGACGGTGCCAGAACACCGTGTGCTCAGTGCTTCCATAGAGCTTCACGGTCTGAGGGATGGAGGGGTAGCAGGTGTCTGGAAGCCTCTAGAGGAGTGAGGGCAGGTGAGGCTGAGGCTTCCTCAGCAGACCGAGAAGGGGTGTGTGACTGGGCGAGGGTGGGTCAAGGAGCAGATGTGTGCCGGGGCTGGAGGCTGGAGCGCAGCAAAGACCAGGTCAAGTAGGGCCTTAGTCTCTCTCCCCAGCGCAGTTGAGGGGATTTCATAGGGATGGTGACATAACCAGGCTGGCATTTAGAAACCTCACGCTAGCAGGTGTGTGTGTTTCTTGGGGGTGTATGAGGGAGGAAAGTAGAGGGGGAGGTGGCGGGGAGGGAGGCCTCTGGGAAGAGGGCTGACTCCCTGTCCCCACGCGGGGATGTGGGTGGGAGAGAGTGGCTGGGGCGGGGTGGGGGGCAGGTAAGAGCTGGGGAAGAGAGCTGGGGATCTGGGTGAAAGGGAGGCCGTTTTATCAGTTGTCAAAACCAAGGGAAAACCAGGAGGCCACAGTGAAAGGAATAAAACGAGAAATGAGAAGTCAGGTGTGAAAGGCTTGGTAATTCTGAGCACGAACTTTAGAGTCACCAGCCTCCACTCTGCCATTAACCAATCTTTGATCTTGAGCAATTCACTTAACTTCAATTTGCTTTGATTTGCTCATCTGGATGTGAGGCCTGAATGAGCTCTTATATATACAGCGCTTAGCAGGGTGCCTGGCCCTTGGTAAGCACCCCGCTCACATCAGCAGTTCTTTTACTGTAAGCAGGAGACAAAGGTGGTAGAATTCAAGAAGTGAGCTCTGAGCACTTGCAAAGTCAAGCAACGGCCTGCTCTGAACACACAGAGCCCACCTCTTCACCTTGCAGAACCAGCTCCTGCCTACTGGCCGTTTCCCTGGTCAGAGCCCCACCGCCAGCCAGGCAGGAGGGTTGCGGGCAGGAGGGACGCGAGCAGACGCTTCGGCCCGCCGCCCGTGAGTCATGCAGAGCGCACAGGTCCCACGCGTGCTTGTCCACATTCCTGAGCAGCCCTCTTAGGCGCCATCCTCTGCATGTGTGGGAGGGGGGACCCTTCTAAGGTAAATGTAATGAATTTCGAGGCTTATTATTTACCTCAATGGGATTAGTTCCACTCATTTCTGGACAAACCTTGGAACAAGCGAAGATTCTACTATAGAAGACAATTCAGGGTCAGGACTCAGGACTTAAATGGTTTGCTCCGAAATGGTTAATGCGTGCTCACTGAAGTCCCAGCAGTTCACAGAGTCAAGCCAAAGAGTACAGGCCTTGAATCCCTCAGCACTCAAGTAGGACTTGAGCTAAAAGCTCTGCAGCCGTGACTTCTCAGACGGGCTGAGTGATTACCTCCCTGCTGTGATGTCTCTAAGTTTGAGAAAGGGGGATTCAAGTGAACGAAAACCATATCACATTAACTGGGGTGGTTCTCAAAGTGGTTTGATGAATTATGGAGAGAGGAGAGGAGGAAGGAAGGGTAGGGAGGCATCGGAGTGGCAGAGGGAGGGGGCACAGAGAAAGGAAGAGGCTCAGAGGGAGGCAAAACGAGGTGTGGAGGGGGCCCTGAGGAGACCCCGCAGCAAGAGGCTGGGGGTGGGGTGGCTTGCTAGGGCGGGGGGAGCGGAGAGCGGCAGACAGCCACCATGTGGAGGAGGTGAGGGCCTTAGCACACACTGGTGGGGGGTTAGGAGCAGCATTGCCCGTGGAACCTTCTGCAGCATGGAGGTGCCATCCAGAATGGGAGCCACTGGCCATGTGTGGCTCCTGAGCACCTGAAATGTGTATAGTGTAATGGGGGAGCTAAATTTGTAATTTTAAAAATTTCAGTTAAAATACCCACATGTGGCTTGTGGCTGCCGTATTAAGCTGTGCAGATCTAGAGAAATGAAGAACACTCTGGAGTCACATGTCGGGGAAAGGAAGTCTGAGCAGCGCCGTCAAGTGGAAATATAGCGCGAGCCACTTATTTCATTTTTTTTTTTTCCAAGGATTTTATTTATCTATTTGACAGAGAGAGAGACAGCGAGAGAGGGAACACAAGCAGGGGGAGTGGGAGAGGGAGAAGCAGGCTTCCCGCTGAGCAGGGAGCCCAATGTGGGGCTGGATCCCAGGACCCCGGGATCATGACCTGAGCCGAAGGCAGACGCTTAATGACTGAGCCACCCAGGCACCCCCACTTATTTCATTTTAAATGTTAGAGTAGCAACAGTAAAAAAGGAATATGGGAAATCAATTTCAATAATATATTTAATTTAACCCACTATATCCCAAATACTATGATTTCAATGCGTAATCAGTAGAAAAAAATTGGTAATGACATATTTTACATTTTCTTTTTTTTACACTAAGGCTCTGAGATCTGGCGTACATTTTACATTTGCGACATATCTCAGTTTGGACTAGCCACATTTTAGGTGTTCAGCAGCCCCATGTGGCTGGTGGCTACCAGATTGGGACTGCACAGGTCTAAAGACATTGATGTCAAGCCAGAGCAAACTTTAGAGTTACGGAGCTTTAGAGCAGTGCTGTCTGGAAGAACTTTCTGTGATAATGGAAATTGATGTAGGAAAGACGTTATTAGGATTCGAAGCCGACAGCCAAGAAAGAATTCTTGAGATGTCTTTCTTTGGTACAAAAAGGTGATTTTATTACAGCATGGGGACCCATGGGCAGAAAGAACTGCATGGGGGTCATGAGGAGGGGCCCATTATATACTTTCAAATCAGGAGGGAGTTAGGGATGGTGTAAGTCTCTGAGGAATTTTGGAAGCAAGGTTTCCAGGACCTTGAGGGGGCTAGCTATTGTTGGGAAAAGGTCATTTATTACTGTCTAATAAAACCTTAGTCATGAGACCCTTCAGATGTGTATCGGTGGGCCATATGCTTGGGGGATGATTGCCAACATGTATCTTGGGGGGGGTTTAGAGATAAAGGAAGTTTCCAAAGGAATTCTTATATGTTAAAGTAGACTTACAGGATCCTAGGCGGGGGGGGGCGGTTTGGGGGGGTTGGCGGTCAGGCTAGGATTGCCTTTTGCCCTTAGCAAAGTATTAACATTGAGGCAGTTGAGTCCCTAGAGGAATGTCACTCTGCCTGTTTGAAGGACTTGTCAGTGGGCTCTGGGTAGTAAGGAAATTTAATAATTTTTCTTCTGCCTTTTTTTTCCCACATCAGAAATGTTTTATATCTACTCTATCGTTGGGTGGTAGTCACTGGCCACCTATACCTGTTGAGCTTAAAATCTAGCTAGTGTGACCAAAGACCTGAATTTTTAACTTCAGTGAATTCTAACATATGCCAAGTGGCTACCATATTGGACAGCACAGCTCCGGAGACATAGAGCTAGACTGAGTGAGAGACCATGAAGGACACGGAGGGAGTGTGTGTGGAAAACTGGGCAAGAGTCTCATTTGGGTGAGAAGAGACCAAGAACGATTCAAGATGGCGGGTAAGACAGAGAAAAAGCAAGAAATACGAGGGAGCAAGCCAGGAAGAGCAGCCATTGTGGGAGTGAGAGCAGGGCAATAGGAGGCAAGAACGTCGCCAGGCGTTGATCAACCCAAGGGACACAGGGAGAGGTAGCATGTGAGAAAAAGAGGTGGGGTATGAGGGAAGGGGGGAGCCTGAAGTGGGGTGGGCGTCAGAGGGACGGAGGTGAGAACTGAGAGGGCGTGGTGGGGGTCATGGAAAGAGAGGGGGCGGGACAGAATACAGGGGACACAGGGAGGGGAGCATACACAGAGTGATAGGAGAGAAGGTGGCGGGGGGAGCGTTGGGGGCTGGACAAGGAGCATCAGGTGCTCTCCTTTGTGTAGGTGTCTCCATACTATTTCAAGAAAATGTCCTTTCCTAAAGCCTCTACTTGGTGAGGCCATGCACAACATTGTATTTTTCTACGGGAAGACAAAGCAGAGTCCTCCGCACACACTGTCTGTTGTCTTGGATTGAGTGCCCACTTGGAGGAAGGTCCAGCCACTGAGCCCTGCATCAGAATCGTAGCAGGGCAGCCTCCCTTGTCTTTGGCGTGACCGGATACAGCCTCTGCCCTGGGTTCCACTTCCCCTGCCCAGGGGAGTGCGGAAAAAGGGACTGTGCCCTTGGGGCCTGCAGTGAATCATCTCAGCCTGAATCGAGACCTTTCATGCTCCATCCCTTCTAGAACACGAAGTCTCCAAGTTCCGTGTGTGGGAGGGAAACCCTGTTCCCTGCCCAGCATACTTTCTTTTTCACCAGCATGGATGTGAGTCTTCAGGAGAAGAAAATCAGTTCAGCCCTTGCCCCCTGCCTTTGCTTTTTCCAGCATGTGATCCGAGGGAACCGCCCAATCAAAACTGAGATGGCCCATCAGCTGTATGTCCTGCAAGTCCTGACCTTTAACCTTCTGGAAGAAAGGATGATGACCAAGATGGACCCCAATGACCAGGTAGGTGCTCCGTGGGACCAAGTACTCCTGGCTTAAGTTGTACGCCGTTTGATGTGGTGCATTCCACCGTTAGGCTCCGCATTGAGCACCTGATATGTGCCAGGGACTGTGCTCAATTGTGTCTGCAGAAATGGTTTGTGTTGCCCTGGAAACCTGGCTCTACCTCCCTGCCATCTCTTCCCGCTGGGTGACTCTCTGGGCCAAGCCCACCTCTGTCCCTTGAAGGCAGAGGTGATGCCTTCTCGGAGACTGAGCAGGGCCAGGGTCCTGCCCAGGAAAGCCCAACCTGCTCTTTCTTTTCCTTGCTTCCCTGGGTTAGCTGATTTACCTCCTGGCTGTCCGTTTCACTTCTCAGGCTCAAAGAGACATTATATTTGAACTGAGAAGGATCGCATTTGATGCAGAGTCTGACCCTAGCAATGTCCCCGGGAGTGGGACTGAGAAGCGCAAAGCCATGTATACCAAGGACTACAAAATGCTGGGATTTACTGTAAGTTTCCCAAACTATGGATCTTGGGAGGCCTGCTCCCCTGACAGAAGGTCAGAGGGCGCACCCACACAGAGCCCCGAGGACCCCCCCTTCGTCATGGTGGCCCTGGAATCGATGACACCAAGAAGCTGGAGGGGCCCTGACACTTAGTTGGCCTTGGCGCTGGGAGGTCACACATTTCCGTGCAGCATTTGGCCCCTTGGAACGAATCCATCTGTTGGAGGGTCCAAGAGGTCAGTCACATGGGTAAAGAGAGGACCTCTCCTGAAAGCAGCGAGGTGCTTTGAAAAGCAGAAGTGGATATCTTGTGGTAGGACACATTTGATGATGGAGTTAATTCAATTAAACACTTAGCGTGCACCTACCCACTCAGCACACAGTATGCTGGGTGCTGGGGAGACGGAATGAGTCAGCACAGTCCCAGGTCAGGAGCTCCCCGTCTCGCAGAGATGGTGGGCAGGAAGGAGGTAACACGAGAGCTAGTGGCATGGACAGGAGGGCAGTAGGGCGTCCCCTCAGGTGGCACCGCACACGGGAGGCTACCGAGTCTCAAGTCCAGTTCCTTTATTTCCCCAGAACCATATCAACCCAGCGATGGACTTTACCCAGACTCCTCCTGGAATGCTGGCCTTGGACAACATGCTGTACTTGGCTAAAGTCCATCAGGACACCTACATCCGGGTAACAGCGGGGGGCCAGCTGGCTCAGCCCTGCCACCACATGTCTCGCCTCCCTAATCCCCCTGCCTTCGTCCCCCCAGATCGTCTTGGAGAACAGTAGCCGGGAGGACAAACACGAGTGCCCCTTCGGCCGCAGTGCCATCGAGCTCACCAAAATGCTCTGTGAAATCCTGCAGGTTGGGGAGCTGCGTAAGTCCCAGCCACCCCCCTCTTCTTTCAGCGACTCCGTAATCAGGAGCCTAGGGGGACTCGAGGTTACAAAGCTAGGGGTCAGTGGGATGGGACAACTAGTGTGCTTTGTGTGGGCAGTCACCGGGTGAGCCGTGAGCCGTCTTATCCTCGCTTTTGGGAATCATGGCTGCTGCTTGGTTTGAGCGGGTCATTTCACGTGTGCAGGAGCTGCGCCTCCATCCATTTGGCCCCGTGTGTCAGGCTGGCCGAGCCTGAGAGAGGGCAGAGCCAGACCGAGAGAAGAAAGCTGAGGAAGTAGAGAAAGGCCCATCCCACACTCTTCACTCGCCTTGGCCTTGCTCTGCTTTTGTTCCTCGGGACTTGAGTGCACGCGAGCGCCCAGCCTCACCCTCCCTGCTTCTCTTCCTCCATAGCCAACGAGGGCCGCAACGACTACCACCCGATGTTCTTTACCCATGACCGCGCGTTTGAGGAGCTCTTCGGGATCTGCATCCAGCTGCTGAACAAGACCTGGAAGGAGATGAGGGCGACAGCCGAGGACTTCAACAAGGTCCGTGTCACAGAGCTCTGACGCCCACGGCTGGAGGCCGTCACGTGACAGTCTGTGACCGCTCTCCGGAGCCTGGGGAGCCCCTGAGCTGGGAAACCAGCATGTCGGCAGCCCTGGGTCACAAGATGCCACACCGGAGAACCTCGGGCCCCTCTGCTTGTGCTTCCTCTGTGGCCTGGAGCAGGGGTCTGCCCCTCGGTGCCCTGGGCCCCTCATGGCCCCAGAGGAGCCAGTACCTGCCCGCCTGTCTCCCGTAGAGGGCAGGAGGCTAAGCCTAACCATACAAGCGCTGGTTGACTGAGCGCTTACTATGTCAGGCCCTGGTGCGGTTCCATGGCCAGGAAACATTAGGGAGAGGTGTGGACTGGCAGGATAGGCCCGTCCTGGCTATCCACTCAGTAGTCATTCCTGACGCACACCCAAGTCCCCACGCTCCACAGAGCACTCACCGCTGGGCCGTCAAAAGCCGACAGTCCAGAAGCCGCTCAGCTCATTGTAAACAATCTGCAAGGTATGAGGAGGAGAAAGTTCTCTGTAGTCCACCACCCAGCGATGACCATGTTCACGTCTTCCTCTAGTCTTTTCTCTTGTAGACTTTGTCCTGCATGAGCGCAGAGCTGCCCGACGAGCCATGGGCTGGCCTGTTTCCTCTTTCACTATTGTTTGAGGGGAAGCGTATATCCGAAATCGAGTCTTCCTTTCTCTGGCTTTAGAGATGAGGAGAGGGAGGCCTGCAGACGGCAAGCGGCTTGCTCAAGGCACAGATTAAGAGATGGGGTCAGGATCTGAGCCTCTTTCCCTCCGACTTCCAAACCTGTGCTCATTTCAGCACACTGTCGACTAGTTGAAATTTGTGGGAAAGAAAGCATTTGTCCCTAGCAGGCATTTGTCCCCGAGAACCACCTAAGAAGGTGTGTGCCTCGGAGAGTCAGTATTCTTGCTCACCCAGCAGGTGTCTGGGGTGACTCCAGGGCAGGGGCAGAGCCGGGCTGCCTGCACCCGGCCTGGCCCCTCAGCAGAGGGACTGAGGCAGCCGGCTTCCTTCCCGCTCAGGTCATGCAGGTGGTCCGAGAGCAGATCACTCGAGCTTTGCCCTCCAAACCCAGCTCTTTGGATCAGTTCAAGAGCAAACTGCGTAGCCTGAGCTACTCTGAGATCCTGCGACTGCGCCAATCCGAGCGGATGAGTCAGGATGACTTCCAGTCCCCGCCAATCGTGTAAGTGCCTCTGGGTGGCGGGGGGCG